CCATTAGTATTTGGACACTAATGGCGCACCAACACATGGTGCGCCATTAGTATATACTAATGGCGCACCACATGTCTGGTGCGTCATTAGTGGTCATATCATCTATAGCCCTTTTCCTAGTAGTGTCCCTTGCGAGGGAGTAGGAATACTTCCGTCTTACATGGTATACAGAGCCTATTCTCTTCCCAATCTAGCTACCAGAAGCAATCCCCATCGCCATGTCTTCCAGCTCGGCTCTGATCATCCTCAACCTCGGACCTCCGCCAGCCGAAAAGCTCACCAAGGGGAACTACCTCTTGTGGAAGGCCCAGGTCATGCCCGGCCTGCGAGGAGCGCAGGTCACGGGGCTCCTGGATGGAACCGACACATCGCCCCCAGCCACGGTAGAGCAGCAGAAATCGGACAAGACCATGGAGTGGTACCCAATCCACTTTATGGACCATGGCTATCAAAGGACCAACAGGTCCTCAGCTACCTGATGAACTCCCTCTCCAAGGAAGTCCTGGTGCAGTTCATCGGTAAGGAAAACACCTATGATTTGTGGACCGGGATTACTACTCTGTTTGCATCACAGTCTCAATCCCGCATCACGAACTTGAGGATCGCCATCACCATGACAAAGAAGGGCACCATGTCCAGTACCGCCTACATCTCCAAGATGAAGAGCCTCGGGGATGAACTCGTGGCGGCAGGGCATCTGGTCTCGGACTACGTACTCGCTGGATTAGATCGTGACTATGACCCTGTAGTGGCGGCCATTGTCAAAACCTCCATCAACCTTGACGAGCTCTTCGCCCAGACTGCTGCCTTCGACCAGCGCATGGAGATTCTGGGAGATGGAGGTGAGGTCGGCTTCAACACCTAGGCCAATCTGGCATACAGGGGCTGTGGTCAGTACATGCCCAGGGGGCGTGCTCGTGGAACCAGGGGGCGCGTATGAGGCAGGCACTCTCCGTCCGCCCCAAACAACAGCAACAAGGGGGCTTGAGGTGGGAGTCCCCAACAACAACAACAGCAACGCCCACCGCACCGGGACTATCCCGAGTGCCAAATCTGTCTCAAGCATCACCGAGGAGGTGCTCGTGCATGCTGGGATCGATACGAAGAAGATGAGTACAAGGAGAAGGAGGCAAATGCCGTAACTGACTCCTATGGTGTTGATACAAACTGGTACGCAGATACCGGAGCATCAAATCACATCACGGGTGAGCTCGACAAGTTGAAAATCAGAGACAAGTACCGAGGACATGATCAAGTTCACACTACAAGTGGTTTTGGTATGGATATTACTCATGTTGGTAGTTCAATTGTCAAAAACCCCGTGAAAAACTTTCATCTAAACAGAATTCTATATGTGCCCGAAACATAAAAAAATCTTCTTTTTGTTCATAGATTTACGCTTGATAATCGTGTTCTCATTGAATTCTATCCTTATTTCGTTTTGGTTAAGGACTTGGACACGAGGAGGGTTGTTCTTAGAGGCAAGTGCGTGGGAGGCCTCTACCCAATCATATCGTCATCATCGTCATCAAATAAACATGCTTTAGTTGCTGTCAAGCCTTCTTCAGCAAAGTGGCACAGTAGATTAGGTCATCCTTCATCAGTTATTGTTAAGCTTGTTCTTAGTAAGAATAAACTTCCCCACCCTCATGAGTCTAGCGTTGAGTCAGTTTGTGATCCATGTCAACAAGCCAAAAGTCATCAGCTGCCATACCCTATTTCTGCCAGCAGTTCCACTGCACCCATACAACTTGTATTCTCAGATGTTTGGGGGCCAGCTCCTACCTCTGTTGGTAGACATTCCTATTATGTAAGCTTCACTGATGATTATAGAAAATTTATCTGGATCTATCTTCTTAAGAAACGATCTGAAGTGTTTCAAGTTTTCAAGAATTTTCAGAATCTTGTTGAGCGAAAACTAAACACTAACATCATTGCCATGCAAACCGACTGGGAGGTGAATATAAGAGGCTTAATTTATTTTTTTCAGCAACTTGGTATTTCTCATCATTTTTCGTGTCCCCGTGCACATCAACAGAACAGTTCTGCCAAGAGAAAACATCATCATGTTGTTGAGGTAGGGTTAGCCCTGCTAGCAAATGCATCCATGCCATTAAAGTTTTGGGATGAAGCATTCTTGACTGCCATATCTCATCAATTTACTTCCTAGCAAAGTCATCAAATTTGAAACTCCCATCACACGTCTCTTTAGCATTATTCCTGATTATAAATCTCTTCGTGTGCTTGGTTGTGCTTGCTGCCCAACCTTCGCCCATACAATACACGCAAACTTGCTTTCCGTTCTAAGAAGCGTCTATTTCTTGGATATAGTTCTATTCACAAAGGAGTTAAATGCCTAGATGTATCCACCGGCAGAGTATATATTTCTCGAGATGTTGTGTTCGATGAATCAGTGTATCCTTTTGAGTCACTTCATCCTAATGCCGGAGCACTCCTTAGAAAAGAAATTCTCCTTCTTCCACCCAATCTCCAAAACTTTGATCAAGGGGGCGACGATTGTACTAATCCAACTGATGATGCTACTAGTACTACTCATGTGCAGGGTCATGCAGAGGATGCAGCAGAAAACGCTGCAGAAAATGATCAAATTTTTGCAGAAAACGGAGTTGTATTTCATATGTCAGAATATGACGAAGCGGGGGTGGAACACGAGGAAGATTTGGAGTCACCTGGAACTCCTGTGCTACAGGCTTCATCGGATCACGCGCGCAGATACACACAGGATCATGTGCCAGGCAGAAGCGCTCTGCACTAGCCCATGAGCGCCACGTCATCGCTTGCCACTCTGCGTCCCGCACATAGGCCCGTGATAGCGCCAGAAACCGCGTCGCCGAGCGCGTCCCGTGCTGACTGCCAACTCCATGTGCATGTGCAGGGTGATTCCATGGGATCTTCTGCGGCCGGTATAGATGATGCAGTAACTTCTTCCGCCACACCACAGGCTGCAGGATCTCCTGTGCAAAGCGGGTCCAGATTCTCTCTAGGATCTGCTACGGCTGAGTCTTCTACACCATCTCCTGTACAGCAGGTTATAAGGCATCAACCACAAGTAACTTCACGTGTTACGACTCGGCTACAAAAAAATATTAGAAACCCAAAAGTT